TTTTGCTTGCAGCCCTACAACATAGTATTATGCATGCACAGAGTGTCTATTGTTTTGGACTATTTTTTATATGAAGGAAATAAATAAATAGAGAAATCAATAAATAAATAAATTGTAGTTAACAAAGGTTTTCACATGTCATTCTTCCACTTTCGAAAAAGTGCTCCACTTATACCCAATGTTCTGGCAGACCCTACACATTTTCAGCTATTCCAAACAAACTTGTTCAATCCTATACCCATGTCAAATATTAAACTTCATAATGCAATAAATGGTGTAAAAATACTTAAGTATCCCGAATAAGATTTCACATCTCACATACCAAAAAAGAACCAAAGCCAAAGGATGAAAGAAGGCCGTTAGAGGATTGTTGTTTATGGATATTCTCATAGTCCCACAGAGGCTACAAATAATTGTTTCTTTCCTGCAATAACTTACTAGGACTTTCTTATTAGCCCAAGAAAAACATCAACAATAGATTTTTCACCTAAGATTAGCCATAACACTTTCCTTAAAGATGTAAGGTAAGATAGGCCAAGAAGACCAAAGGTCAGCATTCTACAATCCTCATCACTTAAGCCACATTTATATTTTTCTTGGAACTTCCTGTTTGCTTCAAAATTCAACTCTTGCATTTACCGCTGTTTTCCTCAATAATTAAGAATTCAGCCAAGAAGCCCATATCCCCACCCAATTAATTAATCCCACAAAGCAAAAAGATCAATTTCATTCCAGTCCATGTCATATTAAATAAGGTAGTTATCTTTCAAAGAAGTGATCAGTTTCCATTTGGCTCCTCGTATTTTTTCTTCCTCGGGAACCGTAAGGCAATTGATTAATAACTAACAAGATGCTTTGGCTCATAGTCATCTGCAGTTTTCACTCGGACCTCATGCTCAAAAATTTGTGGGAGTCTTATATTCCTAACATAAGTGACTTCTTTCTTAGTACATTAAGAATGGTACTTCTGGCTTAATACGAGAAGACGTGAAAAGAAATTCAAGAAAAGAAAAAGGAAAAAGGAAGTATCATCATTGAAATGGAAACCCAAGTAACTGCAAATCAAATCAAAATAAATGAAAGCATGGTACCTGGAAGAGAAGGATTATGACGACAAGGTAAACTCCTATAGCCATTGAAATGCTGTAATAAAAAGGAACCCAGCTACTAACAATCGGTGCCAGCAGCAATAGTACAAAACCAAAAGCAAGACAAAGCAGACGCCATCTCTGAAACTCTGCACTAGTGTGAGAGAGGGAGGGAGACGTCAAAACAGATGACACAATAGGATTGCATAAAACTCAAGCATGAGCAGACACAAGAATTACCTTCTGCAACAGCAACAGTAAGAGTAACTGGTTCCAAAGCAGAAAAGTCATCAACGAATTTCACATCAATATATCTGTCCTCATATGGTGAAATGACAGAGTTCAACACGTTATTCTGCATGCTTGTCCAGCTATCATTCTCACAATGACACAGTCCAAGTGAAGAATTCCTGCAAAATGCTTTTTATTGACATACAACTGTCTGCAGACAGAAAAATTCAACACTTGAAATGCCAAAATTCAAAGGCAACCTTTTTTCCTTTTAGCTTACCAGTGGAAACAAAACTGCATTTTCTTATGAAGTCTTTCCGGAATTGGGACCAAGGTGACCTGGCGTGCACTTGAATAACTCCCAAGTTTTAGTCTTGATAGACCAGACACTTGGATTCGCTCGCATAGTCTTACATCCTTGTATCGTAGAGATTCCACAAGAGGGATTAAAGTCACATTTACCACTTTATTTTCCACACCAACACCTGCGAGATTAAAGACAAAAACATTAGATAATATACAGCAAACAACCAAATTTCAATTTATTCCAAGTGCACTTCTATCTAAACTGGTCAAAATGTGGGGGTAATCACCATGAAGATGCAGCCATGCCATGTATATCCGTTAACCATTCAGCTAATGAATATATCTTATATCCAATGCTAGAAAACAAAATGTTCTATACATAGAGGCTCCTTCCTCATCTCATGTTATGTATTGAAGTTAATTTCTTATTGTTTGATCAACTAATTCGGAGTTCAAATCAATACCTTATGAGTTCTTTAAAAATTTTACTATTGCAAACTTTTCAGTGTTTTCCACATACTTTATAGGTTAGCAAATTCAATCAATATTGATGAAAATTTCAATTAAATGAATAAAATCCACTTGGAAATTGTGATCGAGAATAAAATTCAATAAACATTATTGCCTAACCCAATATTCCAGAAAGTGCATTATTTCATGAACTTTTCTCAAGTTTTAATTTGGATTATGGTGGTTGTACACCATGCTTGTACAGTATGGTGTATGCCCCCTCACACATGAGGGGGCCCACCAATTTTTTTTAATTAATGGTGGGCCCCCTCCCCCTCATGTGTGAGGGGGCTGTACTGTACAACAAGCATGGTTCTTTTAATTTCAATCTGTTAACATGTTAGAGTTAATTTTGCGACGTCCAATAAAAAATCCACAACAAACTTCACGAGAAAGGAACAAAATAAAACAAATTAACCATAAAGAAAAACCACCAATAATACTTCTTTTATTCTGTATGCAGACAATCTTATATAACTTAATTTATGATAAGCATGCACATCAACAATCAAAATAAACTTTGTGATCGTAATATTCTATCAGAATGGAACTGAATCTCAGAGAAAAACAATCAAATCAACATTCTCAAAATAATGAAATAGTCATGGTTTGTTAACTGTTAAGTACTCCGGGAGTTACCTAACCTAAGAGTGTAGTCATGTGAGTGGTGGAGAGCAACACCAAAAAGTGTCACACATATGGAAACCACCGAAAATACTTCATATTAACAGCTTATTCTCTACGCAGACATTATTATATGACTAAATTTATGCTGAACACGCACATCAATAATAGAAATAAAAGGCAAATACTCAATCAAAATTCTTCCCGGAAATCGAAAACAGAAGCGATATAGTAGGAATTTTGGGAGTTACCTACGAGTGCAGTCACGCGAGTTGCGAAGAGCAAGACCAGAAAATACAGTGCCGTGGCGGTAGTACTTATAGAAAACTCCATGACTGGTACTCCTCAGTTCCTTCGAAACGAAGGAGACAGCGAAATGGAGGGGCACGCTTGAACTCTGTGCGTATATATTGGGGGTCAAATCTGTAATGTTGAAAGTTTTAGGCGGGTTACGCGTTCACAGTGGGGGATCTGGACACGGTTTCGTTAACGGAAAGAAAAGCGGGCCTCTTCATCACATGGCCCACTTGCAATCTCTGTATTTTCCAGGAATACTTGCAGCAAAAACTCCAAACTTTTGAAATAGCAGCTAACTTTCTCTAAACCTTTCATTTGTTGCAATTATCACCCATATCATTTTTAAACGTTGCATGTGAGACCCTTTTGGATGATTTCCTTAATAAATTCCGTTAATTAACCATCAAACTAAACTTTGACCACATTTTAATCAATTTTAAATTGACAAAATGATAATTTTCTATTTACCACATTATATAATTAAAAAACATAAATTAGAAAAAAAAATGAGAAATGGATCGTCTTCTTCTCTCCCACCCCCCTCCCTCAATATGAAACCAGCAATAATAAATCCACCGCATCACATCTCTCACCATTATTGTCCTCCTGTATAGATCCACAACGTGCAATCCACCTGTTTCACGCGGGTTAGTCGCTAACAATTAAAAAGGGATCAGATGATTGTGTAAGGGACAAATCTCTTAAAACTAAGTCTCAAAAAAGGGTATTTTTATTGGCGATAACTTTACAATTGGAAAATAAAACAGAATGCCTCCAAGAGGCGCAAGCACACGAGTTACTGAAAAGAAGTGTTTAAATTTAAACTAAGAAATTGAAAGTTACATATTCTCTATTTGAGAATGTTTGATTTGGGGGTCCTTTGCTCTATGTCTTTTCTTCATTTTATACTCCCTGGATGATCTTTTCGTGATCAACCGCTTAAAAACTGCTTGATCGCTCTATAACTGCCCACTTTCTTTATAGTGGCCAACTTGTCATGGAACTGTCTTCTCTAACTGCTGGCATTATTTTTTGTCGTTCAACCGTCTTCAATTGAATTCCTTGAATCGTGGAACATAATAGGGCTACTCAATAACTGCTTCATTAACCGCACTTTTGGGTAACCATAACATCTTATGTTTGCTAAGATCTTGGATGACTCGAAGGTTTAGGCGAGAACAAGGTAACAGCTCTAGGCGACTGCATGACAATCCATTCGCTCAAATCTTGGGCGACTTACAAGCTTGGACGATGGTATTACCGCGTTCATGGTTTCCCTATTTGGGCATTTATCATGAATTGCCTGATTGGGCCGTTCTTTGGACTATCTGATTTGGGGATCCTCCAATTGGGTTTCATTCCTTGGGCTATTCGATTTGGGCTGAACTTTTTGTGTGTCAACAATTACCACGCAATATGGCAGAATTAATACCAATTATTAATTTTTGCCATATTCACTTTGTGTTTCCCAGCAACATTCGAAATTTTCAAGAAT